GTTCAGCAGTGAACGGAAGCTTCTGGAGGTCAGAGGCGGCTTCATCATCAGGTTAGCCTCCGCGTACCTTCTGTGGTCCCACAGCCTCGGCTTTTCATTCTCCTACCTCGCAACGGGTCAGGGCAACCGTTTTCGCTTCCACTCCTCTCTCCTCCTTTTCCTGGCCTTTGAGCTCTTAAAAGAAACAAAGAAGGTTCCCCCTTCACACCAGGTTGCCGGCGCTACTGACGTGGGTTAGGTCAATGTCACCATTTTTCGAACAAATGAATTCGTTTTTCACTTGTTGAGACAGCTTTCCTTGAGGCTAAAATATCCTCTCATTGAACACGCTTGTGGAATTCTTCAGGGAGAGAAGGAGGTGAGCCAGACAGAACATGAACCTGGCTGCGCTGGGTGTCCAGCTGTCAGCACACCGTTTGGCCACAGCTGGTGGCAGCAGTGGCTCTGGCGGAGCCAGCTTCTTGTGCTATGTGAGCCCAGCCCCGGACAGTCCCAGGGCACCAGCCCCAGTCCCTGGAGGCCTCCAGAACTGTCACCACCAGCAGTATGGCCAGGTCTGGCCCTTTGCCTCTTGCTTGGCTCCAAGGAGCAGGGTCACCAGGAGAGTGACCTTCAGGCCAACAGAAATCTAGAGGGGACACAGATTTCTTCAGGCTCCCCACAAAGCCAGGCAGAGGGGTTTCCCAGAATAGTCTGAGTGACCCTAGATACCCTACAGCAGCGGTTCTTGGCCCTGACTGCATGTTAGGTCACCAAGGAGGCTTGAAAAAGAAGGTGATGGCTGGGCTCCACCCTGACCAGTGAAATCAGAACCTCTGGGGCGACGGAGGTTAGTAAAGCCATCCAGGGTGCTCAGGGAGCAGACTAATGTCCCAGGAGTTGGGGGGCTCCTGATCAGGGCCATCTGGGGGTCGGGGAGTTGAAGGAGAATTCCAGGGGGAGGGTCCACCCTGCACAGAGGCTTCAAGGCAGGAAGGAGGTTGGAGGGTTCATTTTGCTGTAAACCAGAAGGCGAGGGGAGAGGGGCTCAGCCGTGTGAGCTGGACTGACTGGGGCCCTTACCCAGAGGTCAGCGGGAAGCCGCTGAATGGGCTTGAGCAGGGGAATGGTGTGACCAGATTGCTGCTTTTTTTTTATATATATAAATTTATTTATTAATTTCTAATTTTGGCTGCGTTGGGTCTTCGTTGTGGTGCGCGGGCTTCTCATTGCAGTGGCCTCTCTTGCTGCAGAGCACGGCCTCTAGGCGCGCGGGCTTCAGTAGTTGTGGCTTGCAGGCTCTAGAGCGCAGGCTCAGTAGTCGTGGCGCACGGGCTTAGTTGCTCCGCGGCATGTGGGATCTTCCCGGACCGGGGCACGAGCCCGTGTCCCCTGCATCGGCAGGCGGATTCTCAACCACTGCGCCACCAGGGAAGCCCCAGATTGCTGTTTTTACAGATTACTGTGCTGCTGGAAGAGAATGGGTGGATGTGTGGGAGACCGGCTGGGAGGCTGTTGTCCAGGACGGCAGCTTGGTAGGGGGTGGGAAGAAGCATCACAGTGCGATGCAAGAATTAGTAAGAAGTGTGTTGACTGGTGATGAATTGCGTGAGCGAGGGAGGGAGGAGAGAGGGAGTCGCGGGGGACGGCCAAGACTGTGGTGTGAGCAGCAGGGTAGATGGTGGTAGCTGTCCCTGAGGTGGGATCCCCGGAAGAGTAGCAGGGAGGGAGGGGTTTCAGATAGCTTTGGGAACGTCAAAGGAGAGACATTGAAGACATTGCTATGTCTGCCTCTCAAAGGAGGGATCTAGGCCCACGATACAAATCTGGAGGTTGATGGCAGACATTCATTCATTCACTCTCTTATCCATTCATTCAACAGATATTTCCTGAACACTGTGCGAGGTTCCATTCTAGATAATTCTACCTTGTGGATTTCATTCCTAGGGACTAAGAATGGTCGGTGGTCAGAGCGAAGGAAAGCTGCCCGGAGCCGGGCCCTTCAGAGTTCCAGTGTGTAATAGTTGGGTCTGGAGAAGCCGGGAGAGGAGGCTGAGAAGAAGGGCCCAAGAGGTAGAAAGAAGCAGAGGAAAGAGGGGGATGGCAGGAGGCAGCGAGGGGAGAGGAGACCGGAAGAGGGCCGGCTGGAAGGCGTTGGGGAGTCTGCTGAGCGCGGGGCGAGCTGAAGGAATGGGAGACAAGGAAATGGGGGAAGCAGGCCCAGGGCTTGCCTGTGTGGCGCCGGTGGGTGGAGGAGCCACAGGGCCCCAGCTCCAGGCAGAGGGTGGCATTGAGGCCACCCTGGGGAACAGGCCAAAAGGGTAGAGTCTCAGGAGGGGACAGGCCTGCCTGGTCAGAAGGACAAACGGCAGGACCACAAGTCCCTGCCCATCAGGAGGAAGGGGCTTCTGATGGTCTCGACCACCCAAAGGCGTCCCGGTGGTGGTGGGATGGTGTCACCACCCTCTGCTTTCCTGAGCTCTCACAGAGCAGGGTTTCTCAGCGTTGGCATTGTTGGCATTTGGGGCCGGATAATTCTTTGTGGCAGCGGCTGTCCTGTGCGCTGTAGGGTGTTGAGCAGCATCTCCAGCCTCGACCCGCTGGATGCCAGTGGCACTGTCACCCACCCAACTGGGACAATCAAAAATGTCTCCAGACAGTGCCAAAGGTCCCCTGGGGGGCAGAATCGTCCCGGGTGACAACCACGGTTACAGAGCGACAGGAATGGATTCTTATCGTCACTTGCCAAAAGAGGAAGGTTTCCATGGGGTTTTTTTCACATCAAGTTGGACGGTTGGGGCTTGAAGAGACCCCCTACCAGGAAAATGACGGACTCTTCCCACACGAGTGACAGTTAGCTTCGTGCGGCTTTCGAAATTGTAGAGGTGTCAGCTCTTTTGATGAGCCCTCCTTGCCTGGGAGACTTTCAGGAAACCAGTGGAGAGAAAGGCCTTTGAAAATGGAATTTGTAGCTAGTTTCCTCTCTGGAGAACTGGGCTGTAATGAGTTTTTCCATCCTCTGTTAGCCTCACGTGCCCTGTCAGGGGCCTGGGGAGAGGATGCTCGGGGAGTCGGCACTATCCCCAGACAGCACCAGGCAGAAGTGCGGGCAGCGTGGGTGCGCATGGGTGTGTGTGAGTGTGTGCGCGGGTGCTCTTCCCACCCGCTAGGGCCGAGGCTCCATGGAGCTGGTGCCATGTTCCCATTCACAGCCTCTAGGACAGTGAGGCTTCGCTTGCTTTGCAGTGTCTCCCAGGCATCCTAGGCTGATGAGAATCCTCATTTTGCAGGAGGGAAATGAGAGGAAGCCGCCTGCCTGCCTGGCTCGGTTGGAGCTGGGCTGCAGACCGCTGCACTCTGCTAATTTCGCAGCTGCCCCTCTGTCCCTTCTGTGAGAGAGTGTCGAGCCAGGTGCCTTGAGGAGCCCTGCACGGCCTGCAGACCAGGACCACCTGGCGCCCACCTCCTCAGAGGGTCCTCCCTCGTCATCCTTCTGGGGCTCAGTATCCAGCATGGCAGTCACTCGCTGTTCCAGGGCTCACACTCCCCGTGCACCACACTGGGGCCTCAGTGGGCATGGCGCCTGGCCTCCAGGGCATGCTTTACTCCCACCCAACACGGCCACAGAGGTCTCCTAGCCCTGGGCAAAGAACCCAGTGGGCTGGACAGAAGGAACCTGTGACTGGGCCCCTCACATTTGTTGTCCCTCCTAGCCCTTCGCTTCATTTGTCCAGCCTGCCGTTCCCCCCGAAGCAGCACCAGCCCCCGTCATTTCGAGCTACAGCTTCCTCTGGGCCACACCAGCTCTGTGGGGCGGCCACCTGCTAAGCCAGCGTGCCACGCCACCCAGTCTGGGTTCTCAGGGTGAGCACAGCCCAGCATCCGATGTGGAGGAGGCCTTGAAGACGTGTGCCTTTCTCTTTCCCGTCGCCAGACGGGCCGAGGCCCTTCAGCAGAGGTTCACTGGGGCCCACCCCTCAGAGTGTCAGCCTGCCTACCTGCCTTTCGTTTCATTTCCTTATTTTCTGCTGGTGGCTTTAAAGAGGAGCATAATAGTGATACACGCAGGCTGAGAAGAAGCCACAGGCCTGATAAGAAACACAGTAAATGAAAAACTTTAAAAAAAAAAAAAAGAGAGCGAGAAGCAGGGACTTCCCTGGCAGTGCAGTGGTTAAGACTCCATGCTTCCACTGCAGGGGTCATGGGTTTAATCCCTGGTCGGGGAACTAAGCTCCCTCATGCCGTGCGGTGCAGCCAAAAAATTTTAGAAAAGAAAAAAAAAAAGAAACACAGTAAATGATTCTTAACCCCCTTCTTCTAGTGTTAAGCCAGCTATAAGTTGCTCCTCTCAACCCCCAAGATTGAGCAGAGAAGGGAA